GCGGCGCGATGCCGCGCTTCCTAAAGGGAATGGCCTTCGTCCCCTTCCTCCTGGTGACCTGGTCATCCGCCGCCTTCATCATCTCCTATGTGGTCGCTGTGCTCTCCGGGCACGTCAACCCCTTCCTCCCCTACATCAGGTAGGCTGGGCGGAGGGTGGACCCCGCGGAGGCGCCGCGGGGTGCCACTGATGCAGGGGCTGGGAACCAGACCCAGCGGGGCGTCTTTAGAACCTAATGAATGGGATCTGACTACAAGGAGAGGAGAGGCTGCCCCCTGGCAGGTGTGTAGAGGCAGGGAGCGTGCAGCTGAGCACCAGGAGGGGTTCGGGATAGACAGAACTACACCGAACTTTCAGGCTGGGGATGGGACAGTAATCTCGGGAAGACGCTTTTCTGGGCAACGACGGATGCCATTTATTGAGAGTGCAAGTTGGAGATCCAGGTGTGAGCTAAAACAGCTCGCATATTTCACTTCTGCTTCCCAGCATCCTCGTGAAGTGCATGTCTGGTTCATGTTTTCAAGAAAGGAAACTAAGTTTATGCAGATGTTGAAATACCATCAGTGTGACACTGATGTCACAGCTAGGAAATGGTGAAAGCAGAATTCACACCCAAATTACATCCCATGCCCAAAGCAACACTCCAGATCTTTGGGGGTCGGACTGAAGCTCTCCTGGATGGAGCCGGCGGAGACCCCCCCCCCACCCCGCCCCAACCCTTCCCTGGGTTCTGTGCCCCCAGAGTCAGAGCCCTCAAGCTGTCAACAACTTGTGGCATCTCTTGTGTTGTCATTATGCCGTTTCATTTTTCTTGAGTTTTGGGCTCCACCTTTTTAAGGTCACTTCATCGTTGCCCAGGACACAGGTCCTGATTCTCTTCGTGTGGCTCCCAACTCCGTGTCTTGTCCATAGCAGTCTTTATCAGAACGATTCATCTCTATCCTAGATTGTGTGGCTTCTCTGGGTCTGTATTGGCTGGTGAGGGGATAATAAAGTTGGCGACACCAAAGTTTGTAGAGATGATACAGATTATAAGGGTTTTCCCTCCTGCAGCCCTCTGCCTCTTGGGCAATATTCTGTAATATTTTCTTTGTGGGTGAGGAGGGGGAAATGAAGGTGAGGCAAGAGGAGACTAGGATTTAGAGATGCAAGGAAGGGAGCATTAAGGAGATAAGGCAAATCTATAGTCATGGGGGAGCAAAGGGGGTGTTTCCCATACAGAAAGAGGCTCCATGCATCAAGCAAACTTTCCCATCTGGTCTTGTGCCCCTGAAGAAACCTGGGCTTGGTGTCTCATGGCTCATCTCAGTCCTAAGTGCCATTGTCTTGCTCCTTAAAAAAAAAAAAGTTTATTGATTTCAGAGAGAGGTAGGGTGAGAGAGATAACATCAATGATGAGAGAGAATCATTGATCGGCTGCCCCCTGCACGCCCCACACTGGGGTTCCAGCTGCAACCCGGGAATCAAATCCTGACCTTCTGGTTCATAGTTTGCCACTCAACCACTGAGCCATGTGCCGGGCTGTCTAATTCCTCTTGATTCTGAAGCAGGATAGATCTTCTGAGACCGGTGTTAAAAGCTTTTCTCACTGCAATGGTTTGAGTGTCTGTGCATTTTCAAAATTTTAAATAGGAATTGTTTGAGCCAAACTGAAGACATGCTAGGGAGCAAGATCTCAAATGCTTCCCTCCCTGCAGTGCTGTGTGTGTCCTGGACCTGAAGGTCAGGGACAGATACACATTGGCCAGGCAGCCAGAGGCAGGGTTTGAGTCTTTGTAGACGTGTCTGAAATAGTTGTGATTAATATCACCACACGGTGAACTTGAAATGGAAGACGTTCAGAAATGGGGAAAAGAGCTGACAAGACGAACCACTCGTGAGATGCTCAAATCACAGACGTGCCAGGAAAGAGATTGTACATTTAACAAGGAAAAGAAGCCTTTAGGAAAAGCAGAATGACTGGAGAAAAAGGCATGAGATTGTTCCGTTGTTGCCAGGAGTCATCAGCCTACACACACACAGCAAACATGTGGATTGTTTGCCCACATGTGCCTGGGGCTTTTGGTTGTCTGAGCTCTCTGCCTGCAAAAGCAGCTGGAGCTCTGAAATGCCTCTGCGCCTCCTAGAAAACCAAGTCATTGAGGAAAGGGCAAGATGTAGGTAAGAACTAGACATCAGGGCCTGATGGGCGTGCCTGAATGATCAGTTTTGTCCAAAAATGTTCAGCTTTGTCTTCTATGATTCATCTCTGCTGTCAATACCTCTTACTCTTCCTTACCCCAAGGAAGGAATGGAGGGATCCATTTCCTCCAACTGCACTGGCTTCCTCCTGTGTCTTAAATGTGCCAGGTCTCCCTGTATCCAGTCGTATTATTCACCATAGCACCTATCACCTTCTAACAAACAGGGTGATTTACTTATTATGTTGGTCACCTGTCTTCCCTCTGGAGTATCTATATATCTATACTAATAAAAGGATAATATGATAATTAGACCAGATGTCTTCTGGACGACCTTCTGGACATCCTTCTTGACAAAGCCAGGCCCGGGTGAAGCCGCCCAGGGTCCTGGGTGCCTGTGGCTATGGCTGGCCCGTGTGAAGCCACCTCTGGTCCCGGGCGCCTGCGGCCAGTCTGGGTGAAGCCAGTCCAGGTCCCAGGTGCCTGTGGCCAGCCAGAGGGAGGGAAGCCCGGGTCCTGGGTGCCTGCAGCTGGCTGGAGGAGGGAAGCCTGGGTCCTGGGTGTGGGGGCCGAGGCAGAGGCAGTTAGGGGTGATCAGGTCAGCAGGGGAGCAGTTAGAGGCGATCAGACCAGCAGGCAGAGGTGGTTAGGGGCGATCAGGCAGGCGGGGAAGCAGTTAGGGGTGATCAGGCAGGCAGTGGTAGTTAGGGAAGATCAGGCAGGAAGGCAGGCGAGCAGTTAGGAGCCAGTGGTCCCGGATTATGAGAGGGATGTCCGACTGCCGGTTTAGGCCTGATCCCACAGGGATGGGGATTGGGCCTAAACTGGCAGTCGAACATCCCCCGAGGGGTCCCAGATTGGAGAGGGTGCATGCTGGGCTGAGAGACACTGCCCCCCCCCGTGCACGATTTTGTGCACCAGGCCTCTAGTATATATATAAAAGGCTAATATGCTAAGTGTTCGTCTGACCAGTAGCTGTGACACGCACTGACTTATCAGAGGGCAGATGCTCAATGCAAGAGCTGCTGTGATGCGCACTGGCCATTTACAGAGAAACGGCACCTGGTGTCCACAAAGCAACACTCGGCTTCCCCCAAGTGGGACACAGGCCCCCGCCACCACCCTGGAGCGACAGCCTACCCTACCAAATCGCAGCTGACGCTGCAGAGACCCCATGGCGCAAAATGTGGCCCACAGCCCAGCTCAGTCAGGAAACGGTGGCTGTGGGCACCTGGTAATGATGTCACATAGCAACGCCTGGCTTCTTCTCCCTAGCGACTAGCTTCCTTGCAATTTCTTCAGCCCAGGAACACGATTTGCTTTACAGCCAGGTGGAAACATTTTACACTTTAACCAAATGTCTGTGAAGTGTTTTCCTGTGCCTCATCTCATTTGATCCTCACAGAAGTCCTGGAGTAGGTAGATAGGAGACTTGGTAGAAACCTATTTTTTTTCATTAGCCGGAAAACGGAGATTTAGAAAGCTTAGAAAGTTGACCTGACTGAAAAGAAGTAAGAAATGGTGGACCTTGAAAATGACTTTAGGTTTTCTCACTGTGCAGAATATAGTCAAACATTGGTGCAGTTAAATATTTTACCCTTTGTTCTCCCTGCGTGATCTACAATAATAATCTGCTTCATGTTGATATTTACTGCTGTGTTGCTGACAATTACCTGAAAGAGAAGTTGGGCTGGAAAAAGTTTAGCGAAATCAGAAAGCAGGTCTAATTAAGCAAGTTTATTCTTTATATATAAAAGGCTAAGTTGACTCGCACGTGCGCAATACATATAAAGCTCTCGCTGGCGCCAATCACACGCGTGTGTTTCGATCTGTCATTGTCTATCGTGAATTTGGTTGACACTTGTATTATAGAGAAAGGGCAAATAGTGATATTAAAATAGTTCTTCTAATTAATTTTCTTTCAATGTGCATGAATTTGTGCACGGGGCCACTAGTAAGATTCATGAAGGCTCTCAATATTAGTTGAATTGATATTTCTCAGACATCCACTATGGATATTGTTATTCTTCCTCTAGGGCAGGGCAGATCGCTTTAGGGGAGGCTTGATCAGGTAGTCATTGGTGGTTGGGATGCAGATAATCCTTGATTGTGGGGTTACATCCTGATAACCTATCTTAAGTTGAAAATATCAACATAAAAAATGTTCAAACCTCTAGAGACTTTTCTTTTTTAATAATTTTTATCTGAAAAAAATTTTTTTATTGTTTTTCTTGTGTTGTAGAGAATTTTAATAAGAGTTTATTTGAGCCAAACTGATGACATGTTCGGGGAGCAAAATCTCACTGCTCCTGAGAATAACAGTTTTGCAGGTTCTTTTATGCATTTGAAATTAAGGAGAGAACTTAGGAAGATTACACGGAGGTGGAAGGAAGTAACTTGGAGATTGGACAGTTAACAAGATTATGTGCTTTCTTGAGGGTTGATGCAGCTTCAAGATGCATTGCTTCTGGTATTTCAATGGTGTGTTAACCTACATGTGCAATGGACAGGGCTGGTTTAAAACACTTTATTAAAGGAGTTCTATGCTTGGGGCATGACTGCCCACCATGACCTGATCATTTAGGAATTTATGATCAGATCAGCCTGTGAGATTACTTTCCATAGAATTCCCCTTTTTTTGGTCCAACATATCTTAAGTTGAAAATGCATTTAGTACACCTAATCTGCTGAACACAACAGCTTAGCCTAGCCTACCATAAAAATGCTCAGAATACATACATTAACCTATAGTTGGGCAAAACCATATAAAGTGTTGAATAGCTCATGAAATTTATTGAATACTGTACTGAAAGTGACAAACAATGGTTGTATGGGAACTCTCCATTGACCATTAACACAGCTGAAAGCACACTGGGCCTGGAGAATGTTTGAAGCATTGAACTAAAACAAAGAATGTTGGCAACACTGTATACTGCAGAGTGTTGGTTGTTTACCCTCA